TCATAACCACAGAAAATTGCCTGCCAACTGAAAATTTGAACACGCAGCTGAAAATTTACAGAAAAACTCAAAAGAACAAAAGGTGGCATAGTATGAGAACAAGGTCTCAATCCAGAGACTATCCTTGGGATTAGTTATTTTTTAGTTTCATATGTTTTTCCTTTTGTACCGCTTTTCATTTTTCTTTGTTTTCTCTTTGTCGCATTGTACTGTTTTCTCTGTTATTAATAAAAAAAAATGCTTCTATTTAAAAAAAAAAAAGCTCTTACAAACTACTCACTACTACTCAGCATTATATAATACGTAGTAAAACTTATACTCCGTACTACGTAGGGGCGGACCGTAGTACAGACCCAAGGGGGTTAGGGGGCTATCGCCCCTCCAACAAATAAAATTTCTAGTGTATATATACAAGAAAAATAATTTTCGCCCTCCCAAAAAATATTTTGTTTAAGTTACCACCCTCCCAAGACAAATTTCCTGGGTCCGCCCCTGGTACTACGTAACATATAAGCTCTATTATATTGTTTTTTTATTTGACGAAAGTACACATTACTTACCAACGTAATCAAACATAAGTTTAAATAAATTATCTTTCTTTACTCTAGATTTACCGTGAATCGCAAGGCGGCACAGGTACTTCATCTAGTAAATATACACACACAAATATACATAAGGCTCGGGTAGGGGTTGGAGGGGAAGGTGACCTTTGTCCATGTGAAAATACTATGTGAAAAGTATAACTATGATCTCGAATATATTGTGTTAGATTACAATTGATTAGAACTGTTTATATGCTTAGGTGTGAAATTGACAAATTGGGATTTGAACTGTTAGTAGGCTTAGGCGATTTTTCTTTCTGCTCGAAGAATGCATCGGCTCCCTAGGCTTAGGTGTTAAATTGCCAAATTGTTTAATTAAGCTAGTAGTTATTATAGTATAATATCTGATACGTAGTATGAAATACTCACTCCATAGTAGATGTAGATCAGGAAAAAATTGTTATGAGGACAGAATTAGGCATATCTTAATTAAGCTAGGACGGACTTTCCAAAGCTTTAGGACTGAAATTAGGTAATGAGGACAGAATTAGGCATATCTTAATAGTCAAATGATATTGGTATGATTCCTTACTTTATTGAGTTGTGTGCAATCGAGAAGACAAAAAGGCAAAGTTAAAAGCAACGGAATTCATGCCTTTACCATGTTTTTCCTGGCCAAGCACCAAAGTCCGGTCCAAGCTAAGATTCGGTCGAACGGCTACTATCCCTCTATTCCATACATGAGTCTATACATTACTTCCCAATAATAATTCCAAGGGAAAACTGTCAAATAGGTCCTCGAACTTTCATAAAAAAGTCAATTAAGTCCTTCTATAGGAGACTTTGTCCGGTCGTCGCGATTTGGGGCGGTTCCCGGTGGAATTTTTTGATGAAATTTTTTGAGCATCTTATCCATCAAGTCTAGTTTACTCATACCAAATTTTAGATAAAAAATTAATCGGGAGTGCATTCAAATTAATTCGAGAACGCAAAAATGCGCATTTATCTTCAAATATTAATTTGAATGTGTTCCCGGTTGAATTTTTAGCTGAAATTTGGTATGAGTAAACTAGACTTGGTGAATAAGATGCTCAAAAAATGTCATCAAAAAATTCCACCGGGAACTGCGCCAAATCGCGACGGCCGGACAGAACCTCCTATAGAAGGACTTAATTGACCTTTTTATGAAAGTTCGAGGACCTATTTGACAGTTTTCCCTAATTCCAATATTGAAATTGTATGATTGATAGTTATTTAGAGGAAAATAATAATAATATGAAGTACTCCGTACTAATAATAGAGGAAAATCGGCTTATTTGATTAATTCTGTTGAAAATTACGAAGTTCTGACTAATATGGATGCATTGGCTGATTCTACTGATTTAAGAAAAAATTATCAATAAAATATATTTTATAAATGAAATAAAGAAAAACTAATATGTTAAAATAGCTAAAATGGTCATTTACAGTAACTTTAGCCAATATAATCAGAAAAATAACTTCAACCTCACTTTATCTTATTATTACATAATTCACGCGTGAAAACAAAAGTTACGTAATTTGTGAAAACGTTGACTGATAAACCTGATAAGTTGGCTGATAAACCTGAATAAGTTACCAAACAGCCTCTTAGTGTCGATCATGTTCTTCAGCTTATTTGTCATTCAATCAACTTTTTTTATGAAGTACGCGACTTTTGTTTTCGTGAGTTAAGTAATGTAATAGTCAAAATAAATAAAATGAGAGTTATTTTTCAAACATGATTGAACAAAATTTACTAACCATTTTACTTATTTTCTTTTTCTTTTTTAATTACAAAGTATCCATATATTTTACGGAGTAAATTTAAGTCTTTCATATTTTAGTTAACCCGTCAATCCAACTGGACCCAATAAATTTGATGTGAAATGTATTTGGGAATACTACAAAATAATCATGAATCACGATGATGTGACGTTAAGCCGACAATCTTTAATTGTCCACATATTTGATTAGTCTTGATCGATTAATTTCTTGTCAACCGTATGGAGATCTACGCCCTAACCCCATTAAGCTCCCTTTCCTAGTTTCGCTATCCAAAAATAAGATTATTAATCCGTATTTCCTCCAAATTAAGCAACTAAATAAAATTGGTTGAAGTTAATGTATTCTTTTTATAAATATTTAATCAGCACACATTTTTCGGCGACTTTTATTTTATTTTACGCTGGAATGAGATAAACAGGTTTGTAGTTCGCAACCATTCTTACACATTTCTTTTTCCTCTGCACAATTCTCCACCACACAAATCCCACTATTTTAATTTGTGTTAAATGTCAAAGGAGGAGATAATATAGGGTCTAGGGGTGGTTCGGTACGGTATACTGAAGATTTTATCTCATACCTTTACCATACCATAAACTTTCGGTATGCAAAAATACATACCGTTACCATACCTAAATTTCGGTATACCTTGTTTCGGTATACCAAAATTTCGGTACGGTAAGCTACGGTATCGGTAAATTATCATGATTTAATATCAAATTATTATATATCAAATGAAATATAGAAAATCAGTGTTAATAGTGATATACTAAAATTATTAATGAAATTAATTATAAAATGCCAATGATAACCTATTTGTGTTCTATTCAACTTTGAACAAAAAAAATATTATAAATATGTACAGATACTTCAACACATGATATATGAAGATAACAACACATTCTGCTAAAATAATAATTTAAACAACATAAATATATTTGAAATAACATCAATCTCCAACAAAAAGTATAAATAATTCAAGAAACATGGATATAAAGTCATTATCCTTGAATTAATGTTGTGTTTCTAGTTATTTTTATAATTTTAAAGAAATTATTGGCTTGGAATTACGGTATGACGGTATAACGGTATACCGTTTATTTCCAAAATATATACCGATACCATACCGAAGTAATTCGGTACGGTATCATACCGTACCAAAAGTGTCGGTATACCAAACACTTCGGTAAATTCGGTATTTTTCGATATGGTAAATCCGGTATACCGAAATTTCGGTATTTTTCCCCACCCCTAATAGGGTCGGAGAGAGTAATAATTAAGTAATAATCCAGGTATTCATTAGTCATAAGATTTTATTTAATTGGGAATCAGAGTATACAGATGGAGAAAAGTCATGGAACCACAACCCCACTTGCACCTTTGCTGAAGTTGAGGGGCGAATGCAATTCTCTCCTCGTAGGTTTCGTATACCAAAAAAGTTTTGGGTATCAAAATAAAATTCTCTACCTCCCTCTCCATTTATTTCACGGAGTATCTATTTTTATTTTGTATATTACCTTTATCTTTTTTATTTAGTCATTTTTGCTTTTTCTAGTAGAAAGTACTCCCTCCGTCCCCTTAAGTTTGTTCCGTTTTACCTTTTTCGTCTGTCCCACTAAGTTTGTCCCATACCATATTTGTAACATTTGAGTGGTTAGAATTCATTCTTACTTTATTCACACTTTATCAATTCAATACCAACCACACAATTCCACTTTTTCTTAAAAACCACACCACACCCCTCCGTCCCAAACTTAGGGGGACGGAGGGAGTAATAAACTTTAGGGAAAATGGAAACTAATAATCCAACTTTTTAGCGGTCTTCTTACAATAGTCTCACCTATTCGTTATTCATGAATAATCCAACCTTTGCACCCCATCTTCATTTGTTGGTCCCTGACCGGTTAATGACCTGTTACTCCAAGTTGTTTTCTTATCTTTGCAAAATATTATCATTGTACAAGGTGAGATTTATGGTATAATGGTTTGCAAAGATAAGAAAATAACTTGGAATAGCAGGTCATGAACCGGTCAGTGACCAGTGAATGAAGATGGGGTGCAAAGGTTGGATTATTCATGAATAACGAAAAGGTGGGACTATTGTAAGAAGACCGCTAATAGGTTGGATTATTAGTTTCTATTTTCCCTAAACTTTAATCCATTAGTCTAACTAATACGGAGTATATTTATGTGAAACATAATAAATTTATATTTTTATGACAATATTTTTAACAAAAAAACATTTTATATTATCAATATTATCATGTATAATTTTTCTAAAAATAAATTAAAATGTATAAATATATAATCAGTCAAAGTTAAAAATTAACTTGAAAATAGTGTTTGACTAAATAAAAAGGAAGGAGTACTTTTAAGCAAATGTTTTACAAAGTTAATGTTCGATCAAATAAAGGCCTCACGATGATGGATATAGATTCGCCTGGCTATGCTGCCAGGTAGAGTGCCTGGCCATTTTAGACTGCCAAATTGGATTATTTGCTTGTTCCAAACGTTTGCTTCTACCCTTCCTGCCATCGGATTATCCCAAGACACTATGCCGTACGGTAGAGAAATTAAACTATTCTGGATTTATCAGAAGCCTTATTAGTGTAATTAATTAATTCATTGCCAATTCATATTTAGAGGCACTTATTTGTTTATTTACTACCTTATTAATAAGCAACAAATAAATGTATAAATCATGATTTATTGGGCTGATGTATCCACTCATCAGACACAAATAATAGCTGATTACAAATATGCTACACGTATCTAAAAAAACAAAACTTAAAAGAAGAACATGACCCAACTAGGTTACATGCAGACCAAGGCTCTATCTAACAAAACTGTGACAACCCCCAATTTACCCCTGTTTTTGACAGCCAATTTACTCCTTCTATCTTCTTTTTACCATATTTGTATATATACCCAAGTAACCAATAGTTACAAGCAATCGCTTAAAAAGTGCAAACATAGTACACAAAGATGAATGAAATGATGACAAATTGGTAATAATTTATGTGATTTTTTTTCTTTCTGTCATCATATAAAAACTCTTAATATAAGAGTGAAAATCAAATGTATAAAATCTCATTACTCAGGTTGGAAGCTCTTTATCACTGAAACCGTACTCTATATATATAACGTGACAGATCCGCTCTGTCTGCGGTAATGATTTTGATCTCTCTTCATCTCAGCTGATATTGGACTTACCGGCGGTTGCTTGCTGGATTATGGCCGCCGGGGACTTCATGATAGCTGGCTCCGTAATCCGGTGGTTTCTGTGTAGAAGAAGGATTACGGAGTGATCTCGGGAGTCTCTTTCGGCTCGGGTGCAACTCGGTTGTAGATGATATTGATGGTGGTGTTGGTGTTGACCTCATGGCTGTGTTTGTATGAGGATGGGCAGAAGATAGGGATGATTGAGGAAGGATTGATGAGGAGATGAGAAGGAAGGCCGCAAGAAATAAGAGCATAGGTTGGGATTTCAGTGTTGCCATACATATGCTTAATGAGATCGTGGGGTGTGTAATTAAGAAGAAATGGAAACCATACACCCCCCAAATAGGTTTGACAAAATCAAATTCCATGAACCACTCGAGCCCAACCTTTGGTTTGGCTTGTTTGAGAGAGAGATAGAAAAAGCTAGTGTGTTGGGGTTTGGGCGGAGTTTGGCTAGCAATTTTAAAGTGTGGGTTGAATTGAAAGGAAATTGGGCTGAATAAAGTGAACAATTATTCAACGTACGGACAAAAGAGGTCTCAATTTTCGATATGAGTTTTTTTTAGGTTAAATAAATGGCCAAACTTTATGCTAAGAATACAACTCATCACCGGATTCCAACTTATGCTAGTATCCGCCTAGGCGTCTATCAAATGAAACCATGGCCAAAATATAATAAGTTGCACAATTTGCTCATCATTTCTAGGGATGGCAACGGGGCGGTTCGGGGACGGTTTTACATATAACCGTACCCGCCCCATTTGATAATTCCCCGCCCCATAACCGCCCCATTACCCGACGGGTAATTTTTCCCCAAACCGTATCCGCCCCAACGGGTAACGGGTATAACCACGGGTAACCGCGGGTAATCGCTTTATTAAATGAGTGCTTGATATTTTAATATAAAAATAATATTTTAAAAGGCAAAAAATGGCATCACCTAGATGACTCTAGACTGAGACGCCACTTTAAAGTTTCGTATATCTACAAGACGAGAAAGAAGACAACATAAATTAATTTGAACCTAAAAATACTTAATCTGAAAAATAATTATTCACTAAAAAATATGATAATAATCAAACAAGACTATTAAGATCTATTATGAACTCTCATTGAACATTATAGTTAGTACATCTATTATCCATATACTTAAGGGAAAATGGAAACTAATAATCCAACCTTTTAGCGGTCTTCTTTCAATAATCCCACCTTTTGATTATTCATGAATAATCCAACCTTTGCACCTCATCTTCATTCACTGGTCCCTGACTGGTTGATGGCCTGCTATTCCAAGCTATTTTCTTATCTTTGCAAATCATTATACCATAAATCTCATCTTTCACAAAGATAATATTTTGGAAAGATAAGAAAATAACTTGGAATAGTAGCTCATTAACCGACCAGGGACCAATGAATGAAGATGAGGTGCAAATGTTGGATTATTCATGAATAATCAAAAGGTGGGATTATTGAAAGAAGACCGCTAAAAGGTTGGATTATTAGTTTCCATTTCCCTATACTTAATGAAAATAGAAAAAATCTCATCTTCATTTACTTATGGGACAAATAATAGATAAAATGTAATAAAAATATAACTAAAATAAACGGGGCGGGTACGGGGCGGGTAATGGGGCGGGCATGTATAAAACCGTAACCGCCCCGTTACCCGTAAAAACAAAACGGGTATTCCCCGCCCCATACCCGTTACCCGGTCAATGCAGTTTTCCCCGTTTTGACCGAGGCGGTTCGGTTCGGGTATCCATTGGATCGGTCACAATTGTCATCTCTAATCATTTCACACAATGAGTGACAAAACTCGATTATAAGATCGAAATAAGTACATTTATGGAGACCCATATGACTCCATATATGACTCTATTGTGGAATCATATATTCATATGGGTGGTGTGACACCATCACTCCCATCCATTATTTTAGTGGAGTCCACCACCGGGGGCGTAGCTCACATGGTAGGAAGGGAGTGTCACAAGGGAGAGGTCTCGGGTTCAACTCCAAGCAATGTCTTGGAATGAAGTCACACTCTCTTTCCATTAGAATGAAATCAAAGCTCAATTTACATCCCCCCCAATTAGTTATCCGGTCGGTGCTGGGGGTCCTCAGGGATGGGGTGTCATCCTTTTTTTAGTGGAGTCCTCCACTAAAATAATGAGTATTAGTGAGGGTGTCACACCTCCCCATATGACTCCATAAGAGAGTCATATGAGTTTCCTTAAACTTTTTGGAAATAAGAAGCTCTATTGTTAGAAGTAAAGTGTCTGTTTCAATTTTAAAATAAGATTATATGTGTATGTAAGTATTCCATACATTTTATGGTTAAATTACTCAATTATAATATTTCAGTTGATCCATATGAAGAAGGTATGCTACTTTTAGGGTACTCCAGTGATGAGCTTAGGAACTTGGAGTAGATTAATCAAGTAAAGTGTAAAGTGAGTACTAAGCTAGAGATATATAGTGTGCACTAAAATAGTATACATCTCAAATCCCAAACTCTTTTCCACATGTCGGAATGAGTATATGATCTATAATCATTGGCGTTGGTAGAAAATAGGTAGAGTAGAAAATCCGGCAGCAATTCGGTGTAGTAAAAATGACGTGCCAATGCATACCTTCTAGAGATATTAATCAAGTAAAGTGTAAAGTGAGTACTAAGCTAGAGATATATAGTGTGCACTAAAATAGTATATATCTCCGCTCGTTGTTTAGACAACAACGTCAGACAACGTATGTGCGAGAGGGGCTCGGAACACAACCTCTCGCATACCTTTCCGACCTGGAGGCTGGTCTTGCGGTCGCCTTGACCGAGCGGCTAATCTTGGACTTGGAGAACAGTTTGATCATCTCCTTGCCCGAGGATCGAGCCGTGGTCGACTAAACACCGAGAGCGGAGCGTGATTTTTTTTTTTTTGCTCTGCCTGTTCATTCCCAAGTGAGGTCGGACCTCATCTAGTTCAATATTGAAAGAAGAAAAGAGACAAATTTTATTAGAAATAATGAAAATGATTAATTATTACATATCACTACTGATAGAACTTAACTAAGTGCTCTGCCTTCCATACGCGGTCGACAAGCTTTCCCGTCGTAGCCTTCAATTTGTAAGTTCCTGGTCCGACCACGTGTTCATCTACGTAGGGGCCTTCCCACTTAATGTCAAGCTTTCCCCATTCTGTTGGTTTGCTTGCCTTCCTTCGTCTCAGCACATAGTCGATTACGTCAAAACTTCGCGGCACTGCCTTGCTGTCCTGGCACGCTTTCACTTGCCTACGATAATTCTCAGCCTTGATGAATACCCAGTCTCTTCTTTCTTCTATGAGGTGGAGTTCGACTCTGAGCCTCTCCTCATTGTCAGCCGACTCAAAATCTTCCACCCGTCGGCTGGGAATCACTGTCTCGAATGGTGCCCTCGCCTCGAAGCCGTAACACAGAGCGAAAGGAGTTTCACCCGTCGCCTTCCTGGGTGTGGTCCGGAACGTCCAGAGTACGTTACTTAGCTCCTCAACCCACGCCGTTCCAAGGGCTTCCAACTTCTTCTGGAGGCCAGCTACGATCGTGCGATTGATATTCTCCACCTGCCCGTTTGCTTGGGGATAACAAACAGATACCCGACTTGACTCCATGCCCCACTTGGCGCAGAACTGCTTAAATGGTTCACAGTCAAACTGCCTTCCATTGTCGGAAATGATCTGCAAAGGAACCCCAAATTGGCAGAAGATATTCTTCCATATAAACTTCTTGCATTGCAGATGTGTTATGCTTGCGAGTGGCTCTGCCTCCACCCACTTTGTGAAATAATCCACGACCACGATGACAAACTTTCTATTTCCCGATCCGTTTGGTAAGGGACCAACCAAGTCTATGCCCCACCGGGTAAATGGCAGAGCGGTGCTAATAGGTGTGTACATCGTTGCTGGCCTTCTAGGGCTCTTCTGAAATTTCTAGCAGGTGTTGCACTTCCTTGCATAATCAGCGCAATCCTTCATGATCGTGGGCCAGAAGTATCCTTGGAGGACCACTTTCTTGGCCAAGGTGCAAGCTCCCTGGTGGGCCAAACACACTCCACCATGTAACTCCGCGACGATCATGTTTGTGTGTGGTCGCAAGCACTTCAACAATGCTCCATTATAAGATCGTTTGTATAGCTTACCATCCAGGATGACATAGGTCGTAGCCCGTCGCCGGACGAGCTTTGCTTCCTCCTCTTGGTCCGGTAAGGTACCGTCGACTATGTAATGTAGCAAATCGTCCACCACATGAGATGATATTTTTAATATGTTTGAGTTATGTTTATAGACAATTGCTGGAGTTATATTTGCTTGTATATGGAGTTACATCTTCTTATGCGCGAGTTACATCTTCTTATGCTTGAGTTACATCTTCTTATCCACGAGTTACATCTTCTTGTGCGGGAGTTGCATTTTTTTATGCACGTGTAACATCTTCTTATGCATGAATAAAATCTTCTTGTGTGGGAGTTACATCTCTCTATACTCGAGTTACATTTGGGCTTGTCTCAACAAGTTACATTTTGCATACTATTAAGTTAGATTTTTCATCAACATGAATTACATTTTCCATAACACGAGTTACATCATAATGGTCAATCATTAGGAAGCAGAGTTGCATCCCAGGTGACAAAGGCGATGATACTTGAAGAAGACATAGAGAGCTTCTTAAGTGCTAGGGGGTCTAGGCACTGAAATTGTTTTACAAGTGCTTAGTGGCCATGGAACAATGGATTAGAGGAATGCGTTGTTCTTTGAATCACTATAAAATCTATAGTGTCGATGTAACACCGTCTCCAAATGTAATTACCTTAAGTGAATAATGTATTGAACCTTATGGAGTGATTAATGAGTATACGAAGTTGTGAATAGTAAATTGCGTGCAGGGCCCACACCGGGGGCGGGGGCCGCCCGATATTCCCGAGACCGTATATTTTATTCATCTTGGTCGATATAATATTTATATAGTTGTGCACAATTTATTTGGTCCAAAGAAATGATATAGAGTTGACCGATTGATCAAAAAGGCCAAAATACCGGTACTGGTAATTTAACAGATAAAAGCCCGAAATAAATTTCAGAGGCTTATAAATTAAAGTTGGGAAATTTATATTCATTATAAGGGTCATAATGATTAAGAAACACATAATATAATTTATTTGCTACCATCGCCGTTGCTTTCGGGAAGTTCCAAGGAGAGGAGGCGTGGTTCGTGCTTCCTCCGGTTCCATTTTTACAAACTGTAACACCCCGGCCCCACCGGACCCGAGGTAGTTACTCCGGACCAATAGTACTGTCCTCACAAACCACCACAAGCCTTTACCGCGCACTTTGTCCTCACTCATGCGCGCCCTGAGAAACTTCCCAGGGGGTCACCCATCCCAAGACTACTCCCGTGCAAGCACGCTTAACTTTGAAGTTCTTGGGTGATGAGCTCCCTTAAAAGGAGATGCACCTCTGTTGGTATAAGTAGTACTATTAATCCATTTATATTAAATCTCAAGTGTTACAATCACCCCCACTTAGGATCGCAACGTCCTCGTTGCGCCCTTGAACCAATCTCAAATCTCAATCAAATCCCAGAATCTTCCCCCGCTAAGTGCACGCCCGATATCCAACGGGTCATCACAC